GACCAAAATATGGCATCCATAGAAGTGCATAGATAGTAATCACGATTGACCCTCTTCCATCCTTTGTGTTCTCCACTTGAGTTGGAGCATCTTTGATGATGATTTTTGGAGGTAGTTTGTCCACATGTTCGATCTGTATCAGAAAAACAACTGCATCTTCCTCTATTTGACCACCAACAAAAAATCCATATCAATAAAAGAAGAATCGGTCCAGCTGTAATGTCTGAAAGACCGGTACAGGTTATTCACATCTGTCTGGGAGAACGAGTTTTGTTGCATAATCTTTCCAAGCAGATAAAGTTGCCCATGTTGATGGTATTCGATGAGGGTGTAACTCAGTTTTTCAAGTGGGCTATCTGGGTCGATTAGCTGTAGAATGTTAAAGGAGATCACCATTGTGCCACCTTCTTATATTTGGATGCCTTTATTATTGAGTAAGGTTGGAGAAACCTGATCTTTATGTTCAATAATAAACTCCATGGAACCATCCTTTGCTTTCAGACCATTACTCACGGTGAAACTGAATGAGTCCTTAATAGTCTCATGGCTGTTGTTGTGAATGTAGCAAACCTCTGGGCTGCCACATCCATCCATGGTCACCCTGTGTTACAGTTACAGTTCTGGTGAGTAGGACAATGTCCCCTTTTTCTAGGTTAAGAACAGAAATGTAGAAACTTTCTGGAGGAGAGCTGATTCCTCCATCTGTTACATAAAATCAGAAATTACCATGTCATTTGCACCCAAGGATAGTAGTATGAAAATACCAGATATGATTCATGTCAACATCTTCCTGTGTAAAACTCCTGCCAGGGTAAAGTGTCACTCAAACTGATGCCACCCTTTGCATAGTCTGTATTTGTAGATATAAAATAATTCCTCTAATTCCTCAAACAATATCCAGCACAAGATATATCTTTAATTTGAGCTCTCCAAATGTTGGTATATTGTGGATGATATAATAAATATAATTTCTTGAGGAATCTTTATCTTCGGCTTTCAATACCACACTTGATATAATTTTATTGTCAGCTACTTCCAATTTCAAGCCGCCATTTCTGATAAGACATGGAACTTCATCATTGACAGACACGACATGAACATGTAGAGTGTCTTGAACTGTGTGTTGCCATCTGTCAGCTGTATGGGAAAGCTATCCTGCACAGTATCTGTGTCATCATGCATGTACACAAGTCGCAGTCCTTGATTCTGTTCACTCAAGGTAAAATTGTGAATCTGTAGTTCCCCACGAAGTACTGTAGAACTCAGCTGTTTGTAAAGGCTAATATTTTTGCCATATGTGCCGTTTAATAAGAGACCATTATCAGGCGGTGTAATAATTGTAAAATTTTATGTGTCCGGTGGAATGCCCAAGTCTTCTACGTTTAATGTGCCAGGATCTATCTCACAAATTCCTCCTTCAATTATCGTGATCTTTCTAACATGTAGATAGGGTGTCTTATCATTTGTGGGTTTAATGATAATGTAGAAAAGTATGGACATAGATCTCTGTACACCGTCACTAACATATACCATAAAAAAATCTGCAGTGGGCTCCCTCTTTTTATCTCGAGACTGTATATTCCCAGAGCTGATGTTCCAAAAACTGAAAGAATCTATGTTTATTTCCAATGTGTTCTTTTCGGAACCTGGCATCAGCATGGTGTTATGGAGATACCTATACATTGGCTGTGTTTCCAAATTTAAAACAGGTTCTCAGGCAGTGTGTCAGCATCAGAGGCACTGATACGATTTAGGGACATGACTATGTCATGGGTGGCGTTCCGGTGCCCGGGACCCAGACACCGTCCGGGCGGCAGTGCGTGGACCGGGACACCTGAGTGCCTGTTGTTCAGAGTAGGAGTCACAGTGTGGAGGTGGATTAGCAGGGTCTGGTGCAGGGTAACTGCATGCCCCCTGGTGTTGAGCACCAGAGTTTGTGCAGCCACATACCAGAACCCCAATTCAGCTTATGCGGATCCCAGGAACTAGGAGCAGGTAATTAAGCAGACCTCCCAGGAGCTGAATAGGGAGGCTCTGCAGCAGGGATGTATCCAGTACTGAAGCAAGGCAAAACTAGAGATAGGCACCATACAGGAAAACAAGACAAAACTAGGAGAACAAGACAAGACTAGGAGAACACAGGACCAGAATAGGACAGAAAGCAGAACCCAGAACATGTACACAAGACAGGAAGAAAACAAAAACATAACATGGGCATGACTGGACATGACTGTACATGGACTGGGATTACAAGACTAAACAAAACAAGACAAGAAACACAAGGCAAAACAAGGGCAGACATAGCTAAGCACTATATATGAAAAGTATGGGGATTTAGTCACATTATATGATCATACATTGCATAAGCCTGCCATCAACGCCAATGTACCCCCATATCTGGCAGGTCCTACACTGCCTAATGTATGCTAAAACAGCCACACTAAACCACAATAGCACTTACCTGCAAGAAAGGGCAGAGACATGAAACACTGCTGCAGGTCCAAGCTGAAACAAAAGGAAAGTGGCAAACAAACGGGTGTGGCAACATAAAACAAACATTTAAGTGATTCCAAGAGACTGGGAAATGCAGCGATGGAATATAAGAATGAACTCAGAAACCCAAGAATAAAGAAAACCAGACATAGACCAGAAAACCAGAAAAACCAAGCAAAAAGAGTACTGGATACCAGAAGCCATTGCCAGAATGATCCGCAGCGAGGAACAGGATGTGACATGGAGAAGGCCTGAAGGTTAGGGAAGTTGTGGTTGCGAGAGAGAGATGTAAAGAGGGGAGAATTCTTTGTTAATTCCTTAACTGTTCAATCTTGTCGGTGAAGTAGCATGCACAGCTATCAGCTGAAAGGTTAGTTTGGGGGGTGACTTGAGCTGGGCAAAGGAGAGAGTTGAGGGGATCAAAGAGATGCCTGGGATTGCATGAGCATGAAATAATGAGAGAGAGGAAAAGTAGGATTGTTGAGGGCTGCATTGTACGAATGCAAGATGAATTTCTAATGGAGAATGTCTGACAAGGTGCAGGACTTCCAACTGGAGCATCTCTCAGGTAGCGGGTTGACTTGCCATGGTTGAAGGCATGTTTTCCTTGAGGTGCTTCTTTGGAGCAGGGCTGCAGCATCCAGGGCAGAGGTGAAGGTAGAATTCCCAGAGAATTAGGGAAAGGATATTGCATGAAAGAAAGTAGGGAAGCCAAGCAGAGAAATGGTCAAGGAAGAGACGAATTAAGTGCATTTCAAAGCAGGAGAAAGATAGGGAACGGGGTGAGCAGAGGTTTGAATAAACAGTGGGTGAGAGTAGAAATCTTACACCGCCACCTTTACTATCAGACTATATATATATATATATATATATATATATATATATATATATATACAATATCAATACATTGTTTAACACAGATCTGCAAATCAGTCAAGTCATAAGACTTGTTTTTCCCACAGAAATCTCAAATTTGCAGTGATGTTACTACAGCAAGGGATTCTGGGTGGACATATGTAAATTAGTTCAACAAAGCATCACATTTTTGCCTCATTCCATTTTACACATGGGTTCCTTGGGGTTTATGTTTGCTTTATACAATAGCTTTGAAACACAACTCAGGAAGAGACGCAAAGCCAGTGAACCACTCATGAACAGCTGTTTCATTGTCACTGCAACTCATCAGCATGAGGTTGATTACAGAATTGTTATTTAGGCTTGGCGTTACTTGCGGAGCAGAAACCAAGAAAGTTATGTTGGGGAAAAATTGTGATTGAAAACTCCTTCTACCTCATGTTAGTGGATAGTCAATACATTATTAAACACAGATCTGCAAATCAGTCAAGCCATAAGACATGCTTTTCCCACAGAAATCTCAAATTTGCAGTGATTTTACTACTGCAAGGGATTCTGGGTGGGCAAATTCAAATTAGTTTAACAAAGACTCACATTTTTGCCTCATTCCATTTTGGACATGGATTTCTTGGAGTTTGTTTGCTGTGTACAACAGCTTTGAAACACAACTCATATACTTTATATATAAAACATTTTTTTTTTTGGGGGGTATTTAATTTTAGGTGAAGAGGGTAGGCAGTTCTTATTTTTTTAAGAGGGTCGACCTTTAGCCACCCATCTGAATGGACATGATTTTATTTGGAGGTACCACTAGTGGGCAAATAGTTAACCCTGAATCCTGACGTAACCAAAATTGATCATTCATTGGCATTTGGATGCTCAGAATTTATTTTTTTTGCTGAAGAGCTGATTTGCACAAATTCAACGTAACCACATATCTGCCAAAAATGAATCTTCAAGTCCAATTGTCATTAATATTCAAGATATGATGTAACCACAAAATATTTTTTTTTTTTTTTAGTTCCATGATGATAAGATCATGTGAATATCAATTAGAAATACACCAGATTTTAACTATATAAGGCTTTTATTTTTTTCATAGTTCAAATGTTTTGGGTTGTTATCTTGTTAAAAATAGAAACACAATTCTAGCCCAAGTTCAGAATGTTTAATAAAATAAAAACTGGCTTTGATTATGACCGAGGCCATTGACTGGGAAAATGATGTTTACATACTTTATTACCAAATTACTTGTTACAAGAATATGGAATCAAACCTTATAATATTCATAATAATATCTTCTAAAATAGGACATAAACAAGTTGCAGAACAATTGGCATTAATGCCAAGCCTTTTTTCCCTTTTTATAAAATACTCTTTAAAATTTATTTGTCCAGGTTATTATGGAAATATCCTATTTAGAGAAAAGAGACCTGTCACATTTTTCTCTAGATCCCTCTTAGAAGAACCATGAACTGCAGGTGCCAGCAGGTAAACAAAAAGAGCATATAGGAGGCAATACTATAGCTAGTCAAAAGCATATAGTGCACAATAGCTATACATTCTAATTACTGGTGAAAAGAAACCAGCTCAGCATGGCTTTCAATGTATTTAAGCATCAGCAAGATACATGGTATATAAAAGCCCTTCATCCTGTGTAACAGCACAACAGCACAACTTGCTCAAGCAGATCAACCATCACTAAACATGGGAAAGGTAAGATGGCCTGAATATTTTAAACATTTCTAACAAAATAAATATTGGAAACAGATTATTAAAATAAAATAGTTGCTATTTCAAAGAAAAGCTTTTTAAACAGGCTGATAATAGATTTAATATTTTCAGGGATTTTTATACGTTTTTGTAATGTAACTCATTTTTATCTGATACATTTAATAGGGATTGCAGTGTGAAATGATAAAGTATTAGCAACTAAACCAATAATAAGATTAAAAATCTATAATGTTCAAATGCATAATGTTTTTCACAGATTGTCTTCTACGAGGAGCGTAACTTCCAGGGCCGCTCTTATGAGTGCAACTCTGAGTGTCCAGATATGTCCTCATATTTTCATCACTGTAATTCCATCCGGGTGGAAAGTGGAAACTGGATCCTGTATGAGCACCCCAACTATAGAGGACACCAGTATTACCTTAGCAGGGGAGAATATCCTAATTTCCAGCAATGGATGGGTTTTAACGACTCCATCAGATCTTGTCATATTAGTCCACAGGTAAATATATTTTTACCTGAGCAGTTAAAAATGTTACAAAATGTTAAAGATGCAGTGTAAAAACATTATTGAAGTGTATCAATTATTTTATGGAATATTTCTTCAACTCACAATTCACTTATCTGGAAACAGGTAGGTTAATTTCAATAAAAACTATAGTCTTAGTATAGATGTTTAATTTTTACATGAAATTATGCAAAAGTTATAATGTGATTTATGAATTACATATCATTTTTTTAATCCTCTTAAAGCACCATGGTTCATTCAGAGTAAAGGTCTACGAGAGGGAGGATTTCCGAGGTCAGATGATGGAGTTCACTGAAGATTGCCCTAACGTCTATGAGAGATTCCGTCACCATGACATCCACTCCTGCCATGTGTTTGATGGTCACTGGATGTTCTATGAGGAACCAAATTACAGGGGCCGCCAGTATTACCTGAGACCTGGAGAGTACAGAAGATATACCGACTGGAGTGCCATGAGCCCAAGAATTGGCTCATTCAGAAGACTTCACCATTTCTAATAAATTGTATTAATTTATAAATCAGAATGTAGTTTAGAATAAAATAAAAGCTTCAAAAAATTATAAATTAGGTGTATACTTGTTTCATTTTCTATTTTTTCTGTCTTTCAAAGTGTAGTTTATTAAACTTAATATTAATATAGCAGTGATATTTAGTTAAAAATGGTTAATTACCAATAACACAGTATTACAGAAATATTCAACCCTCTCCAGTATACTAAAATATTCAACCCTCTCCAGTATACTTACCAGATATCCATTACCAAGCAGTCTCCTCCTGGCAGCATTTCCTTCTCATGTTAGATCATTCATCTGTGTGGCTTTGGAGTAACAATTATGACAAGCTTATAAGTCCTATTTATGACTTGCTTATAATAACCATATGTCAGGCAGAAGAAGTTTAAAAATGTGGGGTGTATGAAAAAGTGAGAATTTGAAAAGGTCCAATGTATGTTGACACCTAAAAGCAAAAATATTTATTTATTTATAAAATATTTTACCAGGATAGTGTCAGGTATAGCCTGGCATGCATTCCGCCGTAGGAACCCACTTCCGGGTTCACGGCGCTTAGCCCCACCCCTTTTTTCTGACGCGGTCCTTCCACGATACTTAGGAAGACCGCGCCAGATTCAAAGTGCTGGATTATTTGCACAGTTGCCTGCAAAGTGATCAGCTGCTCTACCTTGATCCTGCCTCTATCAGACCTCGGCTTGCTAAAACGGACTTCTACCTTCTCCACTTCCATACCACGGCTTGCTTAAACGGACTTCTCCCTTCTCCACTCCTAGACCTCGGCTTGCTAAAACGGACTTCTACCTTCTCCACTTCCATACCACGGCTTGCTAAAACGGACTTCTACCTTCTCCACTCCTAGACCTCGGCTTGCTAAAACGGACTTCTAATTTCTCCTCCATTGGGTGTAATTAACCCCTCCAGTTCCAGAACTGCCTTTTAAGTTAAGTAACTTTTTTCTCCAAACAAGCCACTTCTGTTATTAATATTACACAGTATTTAAAGGTTCTACTGTGTCATTCTGTCAAGTTATTCCTATTATTCATAAGGGATTGCTACTAAGGCTAATTCTCCCTCCAATAATCAAATTATTATTAATTGCAACTCTGTCCTGCTTCATTAATAATTTTCTCATAAATTATTCCATCTTAATTAAGTTGGAAACTAACTCTGCCTATTTTTCTGCACTATTTCTAATGGGAATTAAGTGGCTTGTGTAAATCATCATTGACTTATACTTCAATCACAATTAACATCCTACATGAGTATTTAAAGATACAGTAACCACTGTTTCATATCAGTATAAAAGGAGGTGAAACTTATAGTTAATGCAATTAGAAAATTCTGCAGTTGAGTTCCAATTAAAATAAGTATTACAGATAGATACATTGAGATTTTTTTCGTTTTCAATTATGTCCTGGGTCTTTGTCCGCAAAACATTGCATTGCTACAATAGGATACAATATTAAAAAAATACAATATACAAACTTTATATATACACACATATATAAATTTAATACTGTTATGGGCAAATGCAAAAATTACAAGTTTTAGAATGAAATGTTGTATTTCTTAAACTGTGTACTTTGTCTATAAGATATATTGCAAACTGACAAGGTGTTAGAAATGGAACATTTTGTTTTTCATAACTGTTTCTTTAAGCAATAACCTCAGTGCATAATATGTTTGTGCCATTTTGTCCCAGACGAATTACAATAACAATAATGCATAAACAAGCTTCAAGGCTATGCTACGACTCCTTCAGTACACAATATACTGTGGTAACCCTAAGTAGATAAAGATGTTCAGACTGTAAGATGCCATCTTGAACTAAGTCAGGAAAATTTCCATGATGTATACACCCTTTAGTTATGAACTTGTATTTTTGCCAAGTTAAGGGAGGTCCTAAAATGAATAAAGTAAAAAAGTTACTTTTTCATATATGAACTATGGTGACCCTAAAATGACGACACCTAAGGTGTAAATAGGTGTACTTTTAAAGGTAAGGAACAGAGGAGAGACTTGGAGACAGACACTGCTCCATCTTAAAATGACAGAGAGGCTGACATGATGACATGTTCAGGAGGGTATGTTAACCTATTAATGATATTTGCAAGCATTTAGTTTAATCTTATAAACTCTGCTATAAATTATTGTAATGGATTTTATGTCTATATTTATATTTTTATATAATAAATATCTAAAAGACAAAACTTTATTGCTTCCAAGACAATCCTTATTTTATATTGCATTCTTAATTATTTATATATGTTAAACAGAGGATCTCTTACACTAACTATATACAATTATGGCTAAGATATCTGTATGGTTAGCCCTACTAAGTTCTATGCTTTAAGACGTTATAGTGGTAAATAAGGGAACCATCGTGGGGCATTGTACTTGGAAGCTTTAACTGTAAAATAATAAATACCTAGGTAACCTCTTATATGTAAGAGAAGACACAATACTTTGTCATGGCACAAATCTTGAAATATCAAGAATCTAATGAGCTATTTGTAGCCCAGAGATCTTCATCTTTAGAGATGATTTTAATGTGAACTTGTACAAGGCACTTTGAGTTCAGGTGCCAGGTACATTGCAATTAACATACGATGCTGAAATTGTGGATCTTAATTAACATTATAAGAGAACAAATATATAGATTTTGTAAACTCCCTAATATACCTAATACACCAGCATAGCATGGTCCATTAGTTCCAGGACAATGGATTGCAGGCAGGGGGATATGTTCTCTTTGTGGCTTAGCTGCTTAGTATGCATGCGCAGGAAAAAGATTAATGCAAAATGTTGTCAAAAGAGAAGTGATAAGACAGACCGATGAAAACTTGCTAATATTACTAATAGATTTCGAAGTCTAATTCCAAGAATACACAGAAAATTGCGTTATGGCTTAATGAAAACATTCATGACAGAAGCGACAGACAGTCCACTATATAAGAAAAGTTTTATAAAACAGTTATAATTTCCATACTGTCAGTTACACTAGCTGTTGATTAAAAAATCTGGAATTATAACTATTCAGCATAACTATTTTTGGAGTCTGGAGTTTCCAGGCAAGGTTGCAGAGGTACAGAGACATGTAAACATTCCAAGGAATTGAGAAGTCGTTGTTTTATATTTCAAATCATGAACAACATTTTTATATATAGCCATAAAGAGAAAGACATGGCTTTTAAATACATTCAGTGCAGTACAATGCAGTACACTGCAGCATATTTTTTATATAATATATGCTAACTAGTTCATATATTTTTCCTAAACAGAGTTGAAATTATACTACCCTCCTAAAAAAAAGGGCAACAGGTTGTTATACATAAAAATAAATATTTATAAAATGATTAAAAAAAATATATATGTAAGATAAATCAGGGCAAAATAAAATTGTAAATATATAGGATCTCTGATAACTTTTAAACTGAAATTATTAAAGGCTTATTTAAATAAAATGTTAAATACATTTACAGCTTTAAATGTGACCAAAATATAATAAATGGTGTGTTAAGCAGCAAGCCCAATTCACTAGAATAGCATAAGTATTCTACTATTTAAAGTGCACAATTCATGCACATAATGACTTTGCTAACTCAGGTACAGACTTTAGTCTATTACAATGGCAGAAGGATTAATGTCCACCAATTTTAAAAGGGAAAGCTTACTTAAATTAGTGGTACTATCCCACTGTACGTGTAGTGCTAGCAGTAAGGAAATTAGAACAATGATATTGTACTACTGACTGTAATCAGATCAGACACATGTAATCTCAGTGAATTTCATAAACTAGGTTTCTATAACATAAAATAACATAAAATAAGATTAAATATCAATGTTGTTTATATATAAATACATCAATGTTGTTTATAAATAAAAGTATATAGACTAAGCATTAAGAGCATTTACATGCATTCAGCAGCCTGCTCTCTCAGAGCCAGAAACGGATTTATAAAAAAAAATTGTTTTAAATAAATAGGTTTTACAACGTCCACAGTCAACCACACATGATGGGTGAAGTAATTGCTTCTTTAAAAGCTATATGCTGCCGCAATTATGTATCTAAATACAGATTAGGGCACAGCGTAGAAATAAAAATACAGTTTCAAATCTCATATGGGAATTCAGTTCCACCACATATTCTACAATTCTGATAGAGACTGATTTTAATAATATGTTGTAAGAGCATTGTAAATATAATAATGCAAAATTAATTTGATATTGCAAAACCTGCAATATGCTAAAGACATTAAAATTTAAGAAAAAAAGAAAAATAATAATGCATAAAGAATAATGCATAAACAAATGCAGTGTCAATTAAAGTGATAATGCTCTGATATAGTAAATCACATTGCATATCACATATCTGCTATATGAAAAGTATAATTAAAATGACATTACTGTCCAAAGCCCCCTCACATCTATTTTATAAAATCTATACTTTTCTGTGGTCACCGCCAAAGAAGCCTCTGAAACTGGGGGCTGGGAGGGGTGCTCATCTCAAAGGCATCTGATTCCACACTTAAATAAAAATAAATGATGGAAAAGGAATCATGGGAACACCCAGAACATGCATTTTTGTATATAATCTTAATTTGCAGATAATTTATGCCTTAAAGACATGTAAAGGATATTTCATTAAATATGCAGGTATCTTTAAAAATTAATCAATGTAAAAAAAAAAAAATAATATCTATTTTTTACCACAATATAAACAGCTTTGTTAAACAGATTTAAGTACAAGTACTTACAACAAGAAATATACAGAATCCATTTACAACAGGCAGATTTAGTATAAATGCAAAGTTGTTTTTTTGGGGGGGGATTTATTATTGCCCAATAAATCTCTGAACATATTCAGAACTTTATTTATCTAACAAGTAAAAAAAAAGGTCGGAGGGGCTTCGAGGAGGATGGACGTGCCGCGGGGGGCTCCCTGGGAGTCCCCCCAACCGCGATCGCCGGCGTGGGATCGCCGGCGACCGGGTAAGTACCGAAAGACCGGAGGGCGTACTATTACGCCCGGCGGCGTTTAGAGCCGCTTAG